ACTAGTGTCCTTCTAGGAAGAGAGACTTAGATACCTCAAAGATCCCAGGGAGGTATGTGCCCAGAGGAAAGACCGAATGAGGAATAGAGAAGGTGTGTGGATGTGGGGAGAGCCCTGTGGGAGAGGGAGGAACCCAGCACATGTGAGAAGGGACAGCTCCAGCTCAGAGCTCCACACACAGTGCCAGCCTGCCCTGGATAGCCAAGGAATTTGAAGGCGAGTTCAAAGTCTAGGTCACAGGCCTTTGTAACTACGGTTTAGGAACTTGATAGGAATACATGTTCTAGTTTGCCTTCAATTGCTATGACAAAACACTCTGACCACTACCAACTTGGGGAGGAAAGGGTTTATTTATTCTAGATCTCCTGGATCATAGTTCATCAGTGAGCCCAAGGTAGGAACTCAGGGCAGGAACCTGGAGGCAGGAGCTGGAGCACAGGCCATGGAGGAACACTGCTTACTGGCTTGCTCCCCTGGCCCTAGCTCAGTCTGCTTTCTTATGCAACACAGGCCCTCCAGCCCAGGGGTGGCACCACCCACAGTGGGCTGGGCCCTCCCACATCACTCAACAATCAAGACGATACCCCCACAGACATGGCCATAGGCCAGTCCAATGGAGGCAATTCCCCAACTGAGGCTCCCTCAACCCAGGTGTATCAAGTTAATACTAAAGCTATCCAGCACACCAAGTCTTGTAAGGTTCCCTCTTCTCTCTAGGAGGGAATTTTTTAATTTAGGGAAAACAGCTACACAAGATGAGGGAGTGTGGAGCTGCTCACATGCTGCACCCAGGAAGCAGAGCGAAGGAAGGGAGCAAGGACAACATGCGATCTCCAGAGACATACCTCCAATGACCTACTTCCTCCAGCTACAACCTGCCTCCAAAGGTTTTCAGAAACTCTCAAAAATAGTGCCACTAGACTGGATCAAGTGTTCAACACAGGGGCCTGTGGGAAGACTTAATATTCAAACTGTAACAGGACTCCATTCTCGTGAATGGATTAACCCTGTTATTGCAGGAAAGGATTGGTCATTTTAGGAGTGTCTTAAGTTGTATTAGTTATCTTGGGAGTGCCCCCATATGATGCCCTCTGCCCTGTTCCAATGCAGCAAGAGAGCCCTTATCATCTGGGCATGGTGGTACATGCCTGTAATCCCAACCCTCAGGAGGCTGAGGCAGAAGATCATGACTTTGAGACTAACCTGAGCTACATAGTAGACCCCGAATTCAGGGGAGAGGAGGGAGAAAAAGAACAGGAAGAAGAAGTAAAGAAAATCCTTATCAGATAGGAGAACTTTAATATTGGATTTTACAACCTCCAGAACAAGAAGAAAAAAATTCTTTCCTTTCTAAATTTCCCAGTTTGGTCCAGCATGGCAGCCCATGACTATAATCATGGTATTTGGGGGGTTAAGGCAGAAAGAAAGCAGTAAATCTGAGGCCAGCCTGGGCTACATATTGAATTGCAGTCATCTGAGCTATACAGCAAGAACTTGTCTGAAAACCCAGAAATAAAATAAGATCAAGCAAATGACCAGGTCTTTGGTTTCTGTTAAGGCAGCAGAAAGCAGAGAAGGGGAGCAAGCACTGTGCTTTTATTGAGAATAAGGCTCTGCACATCCACCCTCCACTGCGCACCCACCCTCCAGTGCTTACCTGGCATGCACAAAGCCCTAGCCTAGGTTTGACCCCCAGCAATGTATAAATGGGGTGGAAGTGCATACCTGTAATCCCAGTACACAGGAGGCAGAGACAGGTCATCCCTGGCTACATAGTGAGTTCAAGGCCAGCCTGGGATACATGAGACCCTGTCTCAAAAAGTTAATTGAATAATTAATAACGTTTGCATGATATTATTATTTCGCCAATTTGCATTAGTATTTAATAATGTTAATAAATAATGCTTAATATATTTAAAGCAGTACTATAAAAATAAAAATTAATGCAAAAATCAATGATGAACACAATGTCAAACAATTTTAACACAAGGGGCTGGAGAGATGGCTCAGTGGTGAAGAGCACTGACTGTTCTTACAGAGGACCCAGGTTTGATTCCCAGAACTCACAAGGCATCTAACAACCATCTGTAACTCCAGGTCCAGGGGATCAGAAGAGGACGGCCTCTTCTGACTTCCAGGGCATTGCACAACATGGGTACACTTACATAGCAGGCAATACACTCATACACATAAAATAAAATAAAATATTTTTTAATTTAACACAAAATCTTACTATAGCACAGACTGGCCCAGAACTTGCTATGTATAACCCAGGCTGGCCTTGAACTCACAATCCTCTGGCCCCAACTTTCTTAGTATTAGGATTACAGGTGTGTGCCACCAGGCCTGGCCAGAGTATCAAAATGTTAAGACAGGATGGGTACTGCTAATTCATTTGACCTCAGGCTCCAAGAAGACTCTCTGCCCAGCACCCATCTCATCCTGTACACTGTCAAGGACCAACTCAACCTCATGGTGGTACGTTGACTTCATCTCCTTCCCTTCTCACTTTCCTCAGTCCCTCACTTTTGATTTATGGGCATCATTCCTCAAAAAGCAAACTGTTTAACCTAAGTTCTTGACTCAGGCTGTGCTTTGTTATTTGAGTTTAGGATGGAAGAATAAAACCCAAGCTAGGAAAGATAGCAGTCATTCTGTGCCATTCAAAAGATACTTTAGGAAGTAAAGGGGACCTATGAGTAATTTAATAAACAGATTAATAAACAGAAACCAGAGTTGTCCAGGCACATTAGGACATGTGGTCTTAAGTGACAGGTAAGGAAACTGAGGTTCCAAAGCACTGGGAGGGCAGCCTAATAGCAGGGGTCAGATTGGAAGCTACCCAAAACAGACAGACAACCAAAACCAAACAAAAAGCTCAAGTCCCCTTCTGCCTCTCAGCCCTGGTCTGGAGAAACAGGGCCACTGTGGAAAGGGGAGGGCTCTTGGGTCTGTCAGTCTCATCAGTGCCATAGATCTCGGGCTGCTCAGTCCAGCCAGGGCATGTCCACAACAGTCACAGAGCCTTAGATGTGGTCATTGAGCAGGAAGCAAAACAAGAGGGGGTGGGCCCCCTTCTGATTACCCTGCCAGATCTGAGGGCCAGATCTCAGCGCTTTATCTTTATCCTTTTTCCTTCTCCCCTTCCCTCCCTCAGTTCCTGGACTGGAAGCTGGGCTTTCTGTAAATAGAAGGACTTTCAGGCCAAGAAAGCTCTGGCACCCTGCCGAAATGAAGGGCCCGGGGGGCCTGGGGAGAGCAAAGGGACAAAAAATCAGAAGCCCGGCACGGTGACAGACGTGCCTCCATGGCTATGTTCCTGCAGTGGCCCAGCCTCCCTCTGGTGTCTTCCATAACAAGGGAACCCGGAGATGACAGTGGGAGAACTCAGTGGCCCACGACCCAGCCCTTTCGGTCCAGGGCGCGCTTCTCTGACTCAGAGTGACTGCGCACATGCCTCTGAGCTGGTTTCCTTTCTCAAGGTGAGTCCATAGGCTGTTCCAAGGACGCGTCCAGCCCGGGCTGTCTGCTGACTGACCCCAGCCATCCTAAGCCGCTTTAACTGAGTGCCCTGACATTTGTGTGTGTATAAGAGGTGGGTCTCCTGGGAGCGGG